ACTATTTGGCAATTTGCTATATACTTTAAGAACCACCCAACCTTTCCTGTCTTAAATAAAAGCTAACATGAATATCGAGGCATTGTAATTCCGAGACTCTTTTCTTAAGTTTGTGATCAGACATAGCGTACATTCATCAGCATAGTTATTGACCGTGTACTGTGTGTTAGTACAGCATTGATGTACACATTGAGTTTTTATTGATTGGGAAACTAACACAATTATGGCTATTCCCTTACGTTTTTGAAAGCCAACTAAGCAGTTGTATTTAGCAACAGGTAACTTACTTTTAGCACTCTACTCCTAAAATTACTTAACTTTGTAGAAGAGATAATCTGTATTTTACAGAGATGAAGATGAGAATGTTACCATGTACTAGGTGATAAGGTATATATTTTTTTCCTAAACTAGGTATTCGATAACCATAGTCAATTACCCTTTAGTTTTATCTGGAAGATTTTTGTTTGTTTTTTAATGAACTTGTTGGGTTTATTCAGTAGATACACATTTATGCACTTGTTATATAGTTATGTTTATCTGTATCCAGGCAAGGAAATTATTCTTTTGAGTAACTTTTCTATACATGCTATATTTTTCCCTCTTAGGAATAGTAGTTATTGCTAAGAGAGGCTTCAAAAAGTAATAGTCATTGACAAAATAGTTGGCTGTTAGTTACTGGGGGGTCTGTTTTCTGGGCTTTCTTGGGCTTTGACTCCTGCTGTGCCCGCCTGTAGGTTGTTGACTGCCATTTGAGAGCTCTTGGTTCCTCAGTCAACTGCCAGTCCTTGGGGACATAAAAGCAGTAAGTTAGGACTAAGGCAGCTGTCTGATTCTTCTTCCTTGAACCAAAAACATTTGCAAGAAAACCCTAAATTCAGTGCCACATTTTCTTCATTAATTGATCTTCCTCACTGGCAAACATACATTTTCAGAAGGGCTTTTTCTGAATTAATTACAGCTTGTTGTTAAGGAAGCGAAGGAGAGCAAGTCACTCATTTTACTGGATGTTTAGTGTTGCCTAGAGGAGGACAAACAAACAAATTTGACCTTTAGCCAAGAATTTTTACCTAAAACTAGCATATCAGATTTGGAGTTGGGTATACATTTTATATTGCCCAGCATAATCTAATAACTCCTTGAAAAAAACCAAAATGCTTATCTACCCAAGTCATTCCTTTCTACAAAATGCAACTTTATGTGAATAGTGGGACTATGATTTTATGCTATTCATTTGGACTATCTTAAGAAAAGTATTAGTGAGCTGTTATCTTAGACATTATACCCAGTGCACACTATTCCCAAAAGATGTCATTTCCAGTGAATTCCACATGAAAAGGAATTGTTTTATAAATGTGAATATAAAATTTTCACATTAGCTAAGTGGTAATTCACTGAATTTTACTGTAACTCAAACTTGAAAACTGTGAATGCTTAATTTACAGATTTTTATACTGAAAAGTTACAGATTTCTAGCTTTCCCTTCCAATAAGAAAGGTCTTATTTAAGAAAATATCTTTAGGATCAAGTGTTTCAGGACTGTAGTCTTCAATATACCTGCCAAGGCAAAGAAAATAAATAAGCTCTTGATCATGTGATGGTCTCTTATAATTTTATTTCTGTGAGACCAGTTGATACCAGTTTTACCCAAGAAAATTGGTGAAACAGCTTGACTGACTGACTATAATATTGCTGGCTCGTTAATAGGCATTTTGGTTGGGATTGACTTGCCAGAGTCTGGTTATTTGAAACTGAAGGGGAAAAAAGTGACTTGAACTCTCAATGGCACTTAGAATAAATGTATTTTTTCTGTTTTTATAGGATTTTTTAAAAAGCTTTTTAAAGTAGTTTTTTAGTTGATTCATATTTGAGTGACATCGTGGGATAAATTGCATTCTTCTAATTAAAATATTTTAAAAAATATGTTGTTTTTCAGGGCCAGCCCGGTGGCACAGTGGTTAAGTTCGCAGGTTCTTCTTTGGCAGCCTAGGGTTCGCCAGTTTGGATCCTGGGCACAGACCTACGCACTGCTTGTCAAGCCATGCTGTGGCAGGCGTCCCACATAAAATAGAGGAAGATGGGCACCGATGTTAGCTCAAGGCCAGTCTTCCTCAGCAAAAAGAGGAGGATTGGTGGTAGATGTTAGCTCAGGGCTAATATTCCTCAAAAAAAAAATTAAAAAGAAATATGTTGTATTTTCTCTTGAGAAAAAGAATATAAAATCGAATAAGGCTGACACAATTTTAATGAGGTTATAAAGAAATTTCACTATCATTCTTAGTAATGATATTGGTTATATTTTGTTAAACTCTGTTCGTTACAGCAATACTTTTTAAATGAAATTAATTGGAGAATATCAGATTTCAGTGAGTTGAATCTGATGTGTTACCCTTTTTTAATGTTAAGACGACCACATTTTCTCTTCTGAAGTAAAGCACTAAATTGTTACTTCCAAAATAACCTGCAGATGTAGTTAGAGATTATATTCAATCATTGAGTTAATTTCATATTAATATTTGTAACTAGTCATTCACTCATTGATAAGAAAACTGTTTCTTCAAAAATTAAACTACTCAAGAACCAGGTGATAGTGAGTTTTCCTTTAGACAAATGATCCTTATTGTAATACATGTGAAACAGACGCCGATGAATTTTGTTAAAGATGTAATATTATATTCAGAGATGTTACATCTTCACACTACATTTCTTCCAAAGAGCTAATGTTAAAGGAAAAGAAGAAAATATTCATTGCAACAAAGGGAAAACAAAAAGGGAATCATTAACATACAGGTAATGGAGAAAAGATCCATTTAGCTTATCATCATAGCCAGAATTGCAGCCCTTGTTTTGACTTTAATGATAATTCCTACATGACACATCTTTCTCTTAATCAAATGCAGTGCTCTGAAACCTGAGTGATATATAGAACCCTTTTATTTATTTTACTTTGTGTGTGTGTGAGGAAGATTGGCCCTGAGCTAACATCTATGCCAGCCTTCCTCTATTTGGTATGTGGGACACCACCACGGCATGGTTTGATGAGTGGTGTATAGATCTGTGCCTGGGATCCGAACCTGTGAACCCCCAGCTGCTGAAGCAGAGCACACGAATTTAACCACGATGCTGCCAGACTGGCCCCTAGAACCCTTTTAAAGGAAAAAAGTTATATCATTGGCCCTCCAGAGTTCATTTAAAACATATATTTGAATCGGCGTATTTTTGAAAAATGTGTATCCCTATAGGCTTTTTGTTTATTCATTGAGGATGCCAAAGGAGATAGATCTGGAAAATGCAAACCCACATTAACTGAAAGGCAATGTCCTGTTACTTAATTGCTCAATGTGCATTTTACTGATGACTACAGCATTGGTTCTCTGACTTCAGCTCACTGTCACCACCTGTACTGCCCCGAGCCTTGGGTTGATGAGGTCTCCCATCCCTTTTTCTAGTCAAAAGAATAGAATGCCTGACTGTGAGTCATTTGGGGCTTCCTAAGACGTATATTGATTCTGCCTCTACAATTAAGATAGTGCTTCCTGCTGATAAATCGATCATAAACAAAAGTACAAACCGAATCCTGGAATTGTGTAACTGTTCTTGGCTGTGGTTGGGTGAGCATTTAGGCTCTGGAATCAGATTACTGGAGTTTGAATCCTGTTTCTCCCACTTCATAAATGTGTCACGGTGGGCAGGCTGTCCTTAATCTCTGTCTGTGTATTTCATCTGCCACCTCATAGGGTTCATAGGGTTGTTATGTGAGAATGAAATGAGGTAAGGCTTATAAGACACTTAGAAATGGCACACAGTAAGTACTCAAGTGTTAGAAGCTGTACGCGTGCATCACGTGTTGAGTGGTAAATGCAGTTGAATCACAATGTATGTTTGTTTTCAGATTTTCATTAAACTGAAAAGACAGAATTGTTGTAGAAAGTCGTTAGAATTGCAAATGGACTCTAGAAACTAAATAGTCCTCTTTAGTTGAGAATATTTTGATCGCTGGGTGCTTCTAGATCTCAGTTTGAGAAGTGATTGTTCATGATCTTCCTAAGAAAGGTGCATATTTGAGTTACTTATAGTGTTTAAAAAGTAAAACCAGAATCCTGGGCCCTCTATAACGTCAACTGATTTAGAATCTTCGGGAGTTGGGTTTGAAAGGTCCAGTGTAGTTTATAAAAGTCCACAAAGAATAGTCATGTTTATCCTTGCTGATAACCTCAGTGGATAATTTTCTCACTGGTAATATAATTGAATGGTTTTTGTTTGTTTGTTTATTTTTACTAAAAAAGGACAAGAGGCTGCCTCAGAATGAATTGTAAGAGAAATGATGGCTGTTTTAGACCAGTGAGGTTCCAGTTTGAATATGAACATAGTTTCTGCTTCACTGGGTTATGAGATTAGTGTGGCCTGAGGATATGTCTAGTGTTTGGTTAAGCTTTCTTTTCACATTTAATACAAATCTTGAAAGTACCTGTCAGTCTTTCCGTCTGCGTCACGTTTCATGGCAGTGACTGGGGAGAGCGTGTGGTGAGGAGAGGATTACGCTGTACTTCCTTCTTCACTTAGAGATGTGTATTGTGTGTGTGTGTGTGTGTGTGTGTGTTGGGGGGTTGGGGGGTTGAGGAAGTTCTCTCTATGTCCTCTAGGAAAAGGACGGAAGTAGATTAAAGAACAGCAATTTGAGCAGAAATAACTTTTCCAGAATTATACAGTAAAATATAAAATTACTGGGTCTTTCATTGCTGATATTATGCTTACTCTATCTTGAAGTCATTCCTGTGTTTAATAAGAGAACTTATACAAGAAAAAGGAGCTTAAAAATGAGTCAGAATATTTGGAACTGTAATATCTTGGATAGAAAAATTAAATAGCTTTTAAACATTTCTGTATAATAGTTATTAGCTTTATTCAGATTTAGAGTGAATCGTCAGCTGTAATAAACTAGGTTAATGGGGTTGATACTGATTATTTCCTTTAAATGTTTTTCTTTCTTTAAAAAAATATAGGCATTTCAGTCGAACCATGGAAGAATTGGTTCACGATCTTGTCTCAGCATTGGAGGAGAGCTCAGAGCAAGCTCGAGGTGGATTTGCTGAAACGGGAGACCATTCTCGAAGTCTGTCTTGCCCTCTGAAACGCCAGGCAAGGAAAAGGAGAGGGAGAAAACGAAGGTCATATAATGTCCATCACCCATGGGAGACTGGTCACTGCTTAAGTGAAGGCTCTGATTCTAGTTTAGAAGAACCAAGCAAGGACTATAGAGAGAACCACAATAATAATAAAAAAGATCATAGTGACTCTGATGACCAAATGTTAGTGGCAAAGCGCAGGCCGTCATCAAACTTAAATAATAATGTTCGAGGGAAAAGACCTCTATGGCATGAGTCTGATTTTGCAGTGGACAACCTTGGCAACAGAACTCTGCGCAGGAGGAGAAAGGTAAAACGAATGGCAGTAGATCTCCCCCAGGACATCTCTAACAAACGGACAATGACCCAGCCCCCAGAAGGTTGTAGAGACCAGGACATGGACAATGAAAGAGCTTACCAATATCAAGAGTTCACCAAGAGCAAAGTCAAAAAAAGGAAATTGAAAATCGTTAGACAAGGACCAAAGATCCAAGATGAAGGAGTAGTTTTAGAAAGTGAGGAAATAAGCCAGACCAATAAGGACAAAATGGATTATGAAGAGCAGAAGATCTCAGATGAACTCATGAGTGAAAGGTGACTTTTATATTCTCTAAATATAAAAATATGTGTCTCCAGTGTTTGTAGCTGAATGTGGTTTGTATTTTAATTAATTCTATTTTAAAATAATTATAAATTATAATAATGATAGTTCTATTACTATTTAACCACGGTTATATTTCCTTATAATTTGATGATGTTTAGCACAAAGCAAAATTGCTTATTTGATTTACACAAAGTCTTTTGATTGTGTTATAATGACTTAATTTTCAGCTACAAAGAGAAAAGGAAATGGATTTTCAATGGGAAAGAATGTGCGTTTGAATAACACACATTTGTAACTCTTAGAATTGGATTTATAATTATTTATTTTTTTAATTATAGAGCTTTAGCGTCTGGTGTTTTTTAATGTCGCCATGCATCAGTTTATTCTGATTCCTGAGAATCAAAAGTTTATACCACTTGACTGTGTGTGGCTTGATATGTTAAGAAGTCTGAGGATTGCTAGAAATTCTGATCACTTATGAATTGTAAAACCCAATTTATAGTCTAGAAACACCTGATCTTGTCATTAGACGAATGAGAAAAGCAATGATCCTTTGGCACTTTGTCCAGTGTATCTAAAGAAGTAAAATTACTTAAAACAAAAAAATGTATTAGGAAGGTTTTGAAATGCTTATGGTGTCTGCTTTTCTTCCAAGCAAGTTGTCATTTTTATACCAGGATGAGAATTCTTTGTATGCTAGTAGTGGGCCTTTGTGACTGAGGACCACTCAGCTTCCCACGAAAGTCATTATCTTGCTGAGTTGCTGGGAGAGTGTGTGGCAGTGGAGATAAGTACTCAATTCTGGATTATTCTCAGATCATCTGCTTTCTGGATTGATTGTGCAAGCCCCTCCTTTTATTGATATCTGCCTTTTATTGACAGACATCTACCCTGCAAGAGAAATGAGATGAAACTCTCTTCGTTTCTTTTCATTGTAAAAAATATCTGAGTATCTATTAGGTATGATCAGCCTGCCCAGCAGTCAGTAGCCCAGGTACACATTTTCAAAGAGGATGTTTTCACTCCTGAATAAAATTTTAAAAATTTGTTTTATTTTAAACTTACCTATGTATTTTTTTTTGTCCCTTAAGAGTTAGGTGCATATTCCTTCTGTGGGAAGATTGCTAAATATTTAAGATATTTTCCTAACAAGTGTAAGCGTTTTTTAAGACTACTTCCAAAGCTTTCCTTCAATGAAAAGCTATATATTTCCATGGATCTGAATTATAAATAAGAGCTGAACTACTTTACTCCTTGTGTGCAATTTAACAGACATTTGAGTAACTACTGTTTACTAGTCACTCATGATACCAAGACTGATAATAAGACAGACCTATTCTCTACAGCCTCATACTCTGGAATAGCAGACAAGCAAATGATGAAAATAAAGTGTGCTGTGTGGAAGGTTCTGGTGAGGGAAGACGTCATAAAGAAGCTGAGATTTAAAGCAAGCACTAAGCGTCGTTCAGATTGGAGGAGGGAAGAGGACAGAGGGAAATGGCATTCCTAGGTAGAGGGAACAGCTTGTGCAAAGGCCTGGATTGTGGAGCAAGTGGGAAAGTATATATAGTTTATTATGACTAGAATGTAAAGTGGGGGTAGAGTCTACTGCAATAAGCTTGTGTTGAAGGCCTCGTGTGCTGTGGTAAATAACTTGGGTTTCGTCCTGTAGGTAATGGGAAGTCAGTGAAGAATTTTTAGCAGTGAAGAAACTCAATTAAATTTATATTTTATTGAGATAGCATGATCTTGACAGCAGTGTTTTGTTTAGCTTTGACTGACCCTCAGCCCATCCTCAAACGGGAGATGAATTATGGCGGTGACAGTGGAGGAAAAAAATCTGAGAACAGTTTTAAGAGCTGGAATCCCTGGGAGGCGGGCTGTGTTTGGGAGGATAGATGAGAAAGAGGACTCTGAGATGATTCAAGAATAGAAAATATAGGAAATGAGCAGATTGGGGCAGGCGTCTGGGATTAGTATACATACGTTAATTCACCAAGCATTCCTGGAATATATTCTCCGAAGACTGTGCTGTAAAAGTCATACTAAAAAAGTGGGAAGATGTGTCCTTGGAGATAAGCCTTAATGGCCGTCGGATGCTGAAAATGAAAGGCTTGCTTCTATTTAAGTCCTTGTTCTCATTTATTTATTTATTTATTTACTTATTTATTTAGATTGACCCTGAGCTAACATCTGTTGCCAATCTTTTGGGTTTTTTTCCTTTTTCTCCCTAAAGCCCCCCAGTACATAGTTGAATATTGTAGCTGTAGGTCCTTCTGGTTGTGCTCTGTGGGACGCCACCTCAGCATGGCCTGATGACTGGTGCTGGGTCCGTGCCCAGGATCCAAACTGGCGAAACCGTGGGCCACCAAAGTGGAGCTCGTGAACTTAACCACTCAGCCACGGGGCCAGCCACTCTTGTTCTAATTTATTGAACACACTAACAACTACATGATATACTTGGAACAACTAGCTAGATGTCAATGAGGTGAAATGTAAAGACAGAAACATGTTTAAAACACATATAGAAATATCTCAAATTAGGACAAGGACTGCTAAGGACCAAGAGCTGGAGTGGGAATACTTAAAAGAGGGAATTCTGGTTTCCTTATATCTTTAAGAAAAGTGGGCAGGCAGAGAGAGAAGGGAGAGGAGATAAGATAGGGTTGCCACTTGGAGAAAGAACAGAAGCAAAAGGACCAGAGATGGGGATGGGAAGAATTTAGGTGGGGCCCCACCAATAGAGAGCTTTGAAATCTAAATTTTTTTTTTTTAAAGATTTTATTTATTTATTTTTTCCTTTTTCTCCCCAAAGCCCCCAGTACATAGTTGTATATTCTTCACTGTGGGTCCTTCTAGTGGTGGCATGTGGGACGCTGCCTCAGCATGGTTTGATGAGCAGTGCTGTGTCTGCACCCAGGATTCGAACCCAGGAAACACTGGGCCGCCTGCAGCAGAGCGCGCAAACTTAACCACTCTGCCAAGGGAAATTAAAAATTAAAAATTAGAAATTTTTTCTAAATTTAATCCAACAAGTGTGGAGAAGTAATTTTAGATTTTTAATAGAAGACTTATTATATATATATGTACATGTGTGTTTTATAAACTTTTGGAATAGTTTTAGATTTACAGAAAAGTTGCAAAGATAATGTGTATCCTGTATATTCTGTTCCCATATATTTCGCACCCTGTTTTCCCTATTGTTAATATCATACCTTTGTCAGAATTAAAAAGCCAACATTGACACATTATTAATGAAAGACAATACTTTATTAGAATTTCCTTTGTTTTTATTTAATATCCTTTTTGTATTCTAGGATCCCATCTAGGTTATCACGATATTTTTAGTCAACAAGTTATTTTGAAAAGATGAGCCTGTTTATATGTAGACTATATTAGAGAGGGTAAATCTGAACTCAGAGAGATTAGAAGACCATTGTACAAAAAAAAAAAAGGCATGTAGATTCTAAGTCCTTTATCTGCAAATCTGAATTTTGAAAGCTGTGAGAAACTAATTCATTTGTGGTCAGACCTAACTTGATCTGTATTTAATGTGGATATTCATTCATTTAATTGAAAAAATATATTAATATGTTTGATTATGGAGGGCTTCCCTTAGGCATTTTAGAACTTACCTCCCTAAACTTTGAAAAATTCTGAATTTTAAATACATTCTGCCTCAAGAGTTTCAGAAAAAGAATCGTGACTTAAGGTATGTATGATAGGCCCCTTATTAGAGTTGTGTTGATGAGAGCAGACAGGAAAGCACAGCTCAGTCACAGAAGAGAAGAAAAATCACTAGTAGTTTGGACACATAAATAGCAAAATGATAAAGTTTCTAGAGTGTTTGTAACACTAACGTCGCTATGCATAGAAGAGCACACGTTTGTAAAGAAGAAAATATGGACGTGATGCTCCTAGAAAGCATTTTCTTACATTAACACTCATGCAGTATACTGGAGTATAGGGAGCTTCATCTATTCTCTTCATTTGCAGAAAGTTAAAGAAAAAGGTCCTAATTCAGAGTCCTTGGGAAAATGTGCCACTTAACAAATTCTTATCCTTTTTGTTTATATTTATTTTTTAAAAATCAAGCGAAAACGAGGTGACGTTTTATATTCACAAAATACGTATGGATTTAGATCTCAACTATAATTTTAATTCTAAACTCAATTTAAGTATTTTAAAACAGGTTAGGATGCCTTTTTTTCTTTTAAGTCAGGTTACAGAGTACTGCATGTTAATGGAAAATGTATTATAATTTAAAAAATGACCTGAGGCAATTTCCTGGTTGGTAAAATTAAGAATTACAGTAAAAAGAGAGTTTAGGAGAATTTGTAAAGAACGTCATTCAATTTTCTGTAGAGGCCAAACCTCTTATTATATCACCTTGTTCCTGTGGTTTTTTAAACTAACTGGATTATCATATAAACATTGCCTCTGTTAGAACTAATAATGACAGTTTATTCATGTCAATCTACTATCTACTCTTTGTTTTAATCTGTATGTTAAATTTGACTATCATACTCTCAAACTTCTATGGAAGGAATGAGAACCTGCTATTTTTGTATACCCATTCCTTAATGTTGGTAGTATTCTCTTTTTTGCCCAGTTTTTGCTCAAAAGAACCTTAACTTTGATTATAACAGATTGTTACCATTGTAAACTTTTTCTCTTCCTTGCGGAGTAATAGAGTTGTTGTGAATTCTTAAGCAGTGTCTTTCCCAGAATATTTGAAATTGTGGTTATGAAAAGTAATTTCCTACCAGGCCCTTGTACTTCATGTGCTGAAGAAAGCCTTCGCCTGCTTTTGATTGAGACTTTTCCCATTTTATTGAGCAGTGGCGATCCCAGCTCCAGCTGAATTTCATGGCATAAGAAAGGAGCAATGAGCATTTGATGAAAGCAGATAATAAAATGCATCAATTGTGTCAGCACCTCGTTGCCGTCACATCTGGCTTACTGTCAGGGTCCCATTAGATTCCTGTGGTTTTATGTGCCAAAAATAATATGCTCTGTAGTTAATGGAACCAGGATATTTGCAGTTTGATTAAAAAAAATCATCTTATTTTCTTTCAGATCCTTGTCAGGCTTAAGTTCCATCTCTGAGCTGCCATGTCTCTTGAAAATTTTACGACTGAGAGATCAATTGCTCTTTTGATCGTTTTTTTCTTTTCTTACAGTGATTCCAGCAGTCTCAGCAGCACTGATGCGGGTTTGTTTACCAATGATGAGGGACGACAAGGTACTGAAGTGCTGTTTTTTATCTCTTTGCAAAAACATCTTCATTTTAAAGTTGCGCTTATTACAAGTTACCGCAGAAGTTGATGACTGCCATCCATTTGCTGTACACACGCTGCTTAGTGGACTGGCTCTGGGTCTTTTGTATATTAGGAAGGGTATCCTAGTAATCAATGACGTCCAAAAACTAGTATGTGGAGCCACTAATATTAAGGCAGGATTACCTTCCTTGAGAAAGCTTTGCAGACCTCAGGCTTTTCAATTTTGTCTTTTTTAAGGCAACTTCACACGACAGTGGTTCTCATTCTCCCCGATTCCAAACGTATTTAATACTGTTTAAGCATTAATAAAGGTGGATTTGCAAGTCATTTGTCATTTTTATTCAGCTGTGACATTTATTCATCCTACCCAGTTTGTGAGTAATTAGATGATTTTCGTGAATTCAGTGTTGTAAACCGTTAAACAGTAATGTCTTACGACTTGGATCTTTTCCACCTTTGAAATTTTCTGAAGCTTTTCACAGTTTCGTATGGCATTATTTTGAAACCACCTGTTCTGAAAGAAAATATGAAAATCCTTGTAATGGGGCAGGAGGTATACATACAAATACTTGTCACAAATGTTATCTTCCTTTCTTGAGAATCTTGAGAGGAAAGCAGTAAGTTCTAGGGGAAAAAACAAAATATTTCTTTAAATTATAAGTAGTTTAAGGATGTGATGGAAACAAGGACAACATAATACGTGCCCCAAGCATGTTTTTCTTAATCTGTTCATCCTCTTGGCAATACCAGTAAAGTAAATCAAATAATCCTTCTTTTTTGCTTACTTATAAGCCATTTGTCCCAGATAAATAGGTACATAACTATTTTAAAGGCTAGATTTTTCAAAGTTGAGACTTTGCTGAATTATGGTAGAACCTCGGGGCTGAGGATGAGCTTGACTACCTTGATAATATACCTAAATTCTTGTTAAAATATGTAAGTCTATCCAAAATTACATTGTAAATGTTGAATTCGGTAATGAAATAAAGTGAAAAAACTCTTTAAAAAGTAACATTTTGAGGGGCTGGCCCAGTGGCGCAGCAACTAAGTTTGCATGTTCTGCTTCGGCGGCCCAGGGTTTGCCAGTTTGGACACCGGGTGTGGACACAGCACTGCTTGGCAAGCCACGCTGTGGTAGGTGTCTCACATGTAAAGTAGAGGCAAATGGGCACTGATGTTAGCTCAGGGCCTGTCTTCCTCAGCAAAAAGAGGAGGATTGGCAGCAGATGTTAGCTCAGAGCTAATCTTCCTCAAAAAAAAAAAAAAACGTTTTGACAAGCCTATCAATCTTTGAAAAGCACTGAGTGACTTGGAATAATATGCTAGTGTTTGTTGTGAGCTTATTGTATTTCACATTGCTAAGTGCTTTTTTGCATTTAATTTACTTTAAGTTCTTATTTATTTCTTAAAACAACACACAGATTCCCTTTCTTTTTCTTTTTTTTAGGTGGTGAAATCTAGGCTAATAGAGTTGAAGTAACTTCCCCCCACCCTTACAAAAATACTGGAATTCTTATTGGTTTATCTCACTTCAGAGTCCAAGTTCTTAATCCTTAGCTGTTTGATTTCCCTATTAAGAACAAAGTTGTGGGGGTCGGCCTGGTGGCACAGCAGTTGAGTTCACACGCTCCTCTTCGGTGGCCCGGGATTCCCCAGTTCGGATCCCTGGGGTGGACATGGTATCGCTTGTCAAGCCATGCTGTGGCAGGCGTCCCACATATAAAGTAGAGGAAGATGGGCATGGATATTAGCTCAGGACCAGTCTTCCTCAGCAAAAAGAGGGGGATTGACGGCAGATGTTAGCTAGGGCTAATCTTCCTCAAAAAAATAAAGTTGTGTATCACATCAAAAATAAAATAACCTCATTTTTCTGTAATAATGTTGTCTTAATTGGAATTAAGATCCTGGGTACTCATTTTCAAGTGACTTTCTTTTCTTGTGCTTATACTTGATCTGTGAAATTTTCATGTGACTCTCAGTAACAGTACTGATATTGATATGCTTTGAATTGTGCTTGTTTTGTAAGTTAATTTTTATTAAATCCTTAATTGAAATAAACTGGTGACTTTGGGTTTCCAAAGGCTTTAAATTTTTCACTCCCTCCTAATTTGAGATACGGATGTTCCACAATAAAATGGTTTTCAGTTGAAGCTTAAGGGTTTTTGTAGTTTACATTTAAAAATGTCTGTAGTAAGATTTGGGAAATCAACACTCTCTTTCTCTAAAGAGAAGTATATGGCAGTTGCGATGACCCTCTTAGAAACCAGAATTAGTAGTTTTCCTAAGAATTGTGAAGACTTTAATAAATCTTGGATCATATTGAAAATGCTATTTGTCTCTTATTTTTAAAAGCCATCTGCTTCCTTCTGTATTTTGGTCTCTTTATACATCTCTTTATTGTTCGTTTTTTTTAAATATAAAATACTGTTGATTCACACCCAGGGCACATTTCAAATTCAGTTTCAAATTGATCATTATTCCACGGCTATACTCATGGATGTTCCCAAAAGTCAAACATAACAGTGAAAAGTGGTCTTTTCTAAAAAATGTCTTGCTTGTGGTAGTCCATAGTTTCTTCGTAAACTCCATGGTATTGTCACTTTTCATTTAAAATCAACTTTTTCACAACTATTTCTTAATGAACTTAATCAGATTAATTTCCTTTAGTCACATCTGTTCATGATTGTTTCCTCTTCTACACTCCATACAAATCATGAAATTAAGCTAATTATATACCATTATCAGCTGCAAAGAACATGCTACAGTTTCATACCTTTTAATTCCCAGCAGGAGACTAACGCTTGTTTTTCCTTAATGTGGGAAGGGTAGTAACTTAAATGGATTTCCCTACAGTTTTTGCCAAAGGATTAACCAGTTTGTTATTGTTTTTCACATTTTTAAATTCCTTCTAAAACATAACATTTTGTTTTTGTCGATGGCAGTTCTTGGTATAGTCTTAAAAAACATTTCCTAAGTGAAGCTATGTTGTAGAATAAAAAGTTTTCTTTCTAGATTATATATATGATTGCCAGATAAAATACAGAATCCCTGGTTAAATTTCAATTTCAGATGAATTACAAATTACTTTTTAGTATATCTCATGGAGTTTTTGGATATACTTGTACTAAAAACTTTTTATAAGTGCTACATATTAAAAATTATATGAATTTTGTTTATATATAATTCAAATTTGATTGCTGTCTTGTATTTTTTAAATCTAAATGTGACCACTCTGTACATTTGGATGATAAAATTGAATCTTGGGGGGATGTCTTGTCTTTGCACAGGTGACGATGAGCAGAGTGACTGGTTTTATGAAAAGGAATCCGGTGGAGCGTGTGGCATCACTGGAGTCATCCCCTGGTGGGAAAAGGAAGATCCCACTGAGCTAGACAAAAATTTACCAGATCCTGTCTTTGAAAGTATCTTAACTGGTTCCTTCCCCCTTATGTCACATCCGGGAAGAAGAGGTCAGTAGCATTGCCTGACTGGTGGATACCGTGGGCTTGTAGTCAGTCTATTTGTGGAAAGAGGATAGGCTGAAATGGAAAGGACAGAATCTGAACACAAGATGCTGTACAGAAACATGTGGAGTAGCAACTCAGCTACTGCGTTTACCATGCTTTCACATTATTAGAAAGGTTGACTTGCTTTCTTGCTAGGCCCATCGTGGAAATGTTGAAATGATGTAAAGGTAAATAGGGAGGAAAGAAAAGCTCTACATAATACTCTAATACTTAAATAATCAATAGTTATGTCCTGTCCACATTAGAACCCTACTAGGCGTTGCTTCAGATCTCGTAAGTGTGAGTTTTGCCTTTTCCTCACAACTATTCTAGATCTTTCTCTCCTCCAACTTACTTTGAATTCTGAATTGATAGGATCTTATTCTATGCTTCAATGATCATAGAATCTCCTAAATTGAATACTTTGATTTTCCAGGTTTCCAAGCTCGACTCAGTCGCCTTCATGGAATGCCTTCTAAGAACATTAAAAAATCTGGAGGGACCCCAACTTCAATGGTAGGCATGCTTTTTTTTGTTTAATTGTCATGTTTGGAAATGTATCCATTTCTATGGAATAAAAAGCCACATCCTCATCCTTTATTCATATTCTAATGTTATACTGAAAAATAATCCATTTTTTTGTAGGCTGCACACTGGACCAGTGAGATTCCCCTATAAACCAAATCTTCTAATGCTAATAAATTAGTTACGTTTTGAACATCTGGGGAATGACATTCGAGGGAACCTGGCTCCTGTCCTCTTCCCCTGGAGGAATATCATTGAAGTGAGAGCCTCTTTGATGAAAAGATGGGGCTGGTTTTGCTGGAGGACTGGTATTCTTCCTTTAGGCAGAAGTGAACCTGGTTGGGGGCGCTTTCTAGGGGTCTAGGTTGGCCCAGGGTAGGTAGAAACTACTGTAAATTTTATATATTTTTCCTCTTTTATGATTTTTTTTTACATTGAAACCATTTATGTATCACTTGCTTTGCCAAAATGCTAACGAAAGCTGGAAAATTAAGAACTTCCAGATCTCACTTAAGTATTCCTTCATGTTGATATTGTGACTCACTAAGAACTAATTTTTACATATCTGACTGTTGTAAATAAAAAACGTGATGCATTGATGAACATTTATGGTTCAATTTTAGAGAAATCTTATATAACCAGCGTTATTTAAAATATTTGCATTTTACTCAGGGTATTTTAACAAGGGCTACGATGAGTAGTAAAGGTTGATAATCTTTGCTAGAGTTTGTATTTTGTTCAAGTTTGCCTTCTACTTGGATAATCTGCTCTGTATTGCAAACCTATTGTATTTTATAGTATAGTTTTCATTGTACTGCAAAAATTACCCTAGTTTTGAACTAGCCACAATGATAACTAGTCTGTGCTAGTAGGATCATTGACTATTACCTTTTAAATTACCTGCTTTGTCTGATACCTGAAACCAAGCAAAAGTATCATTTTGGTTTAGAGCTTTTTGAAATCATGTGAAAGCTGGCATTTCAGCAAATATTGTATGACTCTAAATCATATTGTCATGTTTAAAAGTGAGAGCTGCTTGCACATCTTTAGAATGGCAGACCATGTGTGTCACTGTGAGTGTCAGAAATACTTGCATGGGCTCCTTTTCACCAAGCAGAGGGAAAAATGTAACATTTCTATTGAGACACTGTGCTACATTGAGGCCATTTGAATTCAAAATGGTTATATTAAAATGATTGATATTTTTATTAAGTTTCGATACTTGATGAAAACTGTGATTAATACATGTATTTTTCTATTATTGTATGGATTAATTGTGAACTCAGCATTTAATGGCTAACTTAAATATGGTGATCAGAAAAGAAACTCAAAGTTGACATTTCCTTTACCTAAAGTTATTATAATCTGAAAGATTTCAGCAAATGTACTAATGAAGAATGTATGATATCTTTTAGATTGCTTGTCTAAACTGGAGAGATTAATAAAGTGCAACTTTGAGTCTCTTTCCCTTTGCATATTTTAAGTGATATTTTACAGGTACAATAATATGGTGTTTGGTGATTGTAAGTAAGCTTTTTTGTGCTATGTCCTTTGGAGTGAAAATTCATGAATTTTTTCCTGCATTACATAAATGCTTTTATTTTATTTTGTATAATGATTGTCTTTTAGATCTGAATAAGTCCCTTTCAAACCTTGGCCCGTGAACTTTGCCTTACCAGTCGTGAATCTAGATGAATGCTCTCCAGTTCTTGGTTCAGTTTTAGCTTTTTTTCTTTTTGGTTCACTGCCTGCTTGAGCATAGCTGGGATTTGTAGCCCATTTTCTGGGCTTATTGCAATCTCACTGTGGTATTTTATAGAAGCTATTACAACTGATAGGCTAGCTTCATGGTATTGATGATACATGGCTTAACCATAGTAAGAGCTGCCTTCCCTCTCTAAATTGTAAAAAGGTGATTAAGTTTCACTTGATGGAGATATACTGTGTATGTGTGTTTATCATGGACCTAGTGCATTAGGCCATAAACTGTTCTCCTGGTCTACCTTTTTTTGTATTCAAAATTTTACTGAAGATAATGGGCTCCTTCAGGTTTTTTTCTTTCAATCTTGAATTGTCCTTGTTTGGATTTTTAAGTACTGTAATCTTTTTCTTTTCAATAAAGTATCTGACTTGGGCAAGAAAGGTAAGACTTCCAATCTGTGCTGATATTTTTAAATTCCTATGCTGAGTTGTTGTGGTGGTGGTGGTGGTGGTGGTGGTGGCGGCTCATGCTGTCCGTATTCTATGTAATAATCTAGTTTTAAAAATCGTAATCTCACAAAACAGTCATAAACAGTACCTATGGCATCCAATAGTAAGAAATGAAATTTAATTCCTTAGACTTTCACATTGGAAAGTCAGATTGCTTTTAAGAGAGATTCATTTTCTAAGCGAAGTCAAACACATGTAGTTGCACCCCATTAGACAGAATAGCGCAACGGGATTCTTTTTCTTAAGCAGATGAATGATGGCTGCACAAATAGAATGATGATCTTTGAAGGAAATGACAGAAGAAGAATCTTTTACTGAAATATTAATGTAAACATTTTTTGGAGGAAAAGTTTTTAACTGGAATTTTTATTATTCGCCTTAGTTGTGTTCTATAAAATCCCCATGAATGTTAATTAGCCAATACTGAACCATTGCTCCTAAGGGAAATACAGGGTTAGGTTCCTGTGAGCCTCTGGTCACATTTTCTTTAATCACGCAGTGCATAACCTTGTTTTCTGTAATGTTTGTGTTTAAAAACACCTTATTTAATATATATCATTGATTCATTCATGGTGAACTCATGGCCATTGGTGGTGAACTCATGCCTGAACAAAGCTTATCCAACACATGTGTTTTCTCCATAAGGCACATCAGTCACCAGCCTTCTTGTGCTTAGGGACTCTAGACAGTACTGCAGCATTGTGCTTGGGGGCCATTCTGTCACCAAGAAAAATGTGGAAAACGCGGCACTGAATTAACCACAAAAAGGAACTTGTTTACAGTATGAGAGCTGAAACAAGATGGCAGAGTGTTGCCGTATTTGACCTCAGCGGGAATGCGCGTGTGCAACAGGTGACCTAGATTTTTCCCCGCTCTGCTCACGTCCGTGAATGACCAGGGAAGCACTCTGAGTACTGATTTGGGGTTACAAATTTTAGCAAGTATGCAAATTTGCAAATGTGGAACCTGCAGATAGGAATGAGGATCGACTCTATTTTCATAGAGAGTCAAGTCACATTGTAGAAAACATAGGTTTTAAAGTCAGACCTTTGTGAATCCTTACTCTGGTTCTTCTTTTTCACTTATAATGAAATTTGAACCTCATTTTCTTTTTCTGTTAAATAGAGACAATAATTACTTGGCAGAAGTGTTATCAGGATTAAATGAGATTGTATTTACATAATGGGCCTAGCACCATCTCTGTCACATAGTCTATATTAAATAAATCATAGTTACTGTTATTATTAGGTATATTAAACACAGAAGCTCATGATTCAGAGAACGTTTGTATCATAGGTCAAAGTGCAGAATTTTAGACTTTAAAACTTTTCTGTTCATATTTTATATATAGTATGCCTTATAGTTAATATTTAAAGTGCTTTATATTACAGCCTTTTATGTTTCTTTTATACCTCATTTATATTTGAGCTGGCCCTCGTCTTTAATATGGTCTGTGAAGAATTATTTTGAATGAATTTTACACTGACAGCCACTGCATTAAATCTCAAAACTTAATTGCAAACTAAGAAACACTTCTCCCTCCCTCCCAGTCATTAAGTTATTCATTTGTAGAAAAACCATACTGTTTAGGAGGTTTTGGTTCAGAGTTAACTGATTTTTAAAAATAATTTTGTCCATGTACATGAGGAGTGAATGCAGACAGAGTCCTGAGAATTTAATGTTGAGAAGAATCAACTATTGCTGTCCTTCTGTTAAAATAAAGCATCAGTTTATTAGAGCTCAACTATTTAGACTTTAATATTCACCCCTTTTAGGAAAATTAAGCAAATTATAATTCCAAGGGATATCCTGCGGCCATTATCCAGTAGATTCAGTTGTATGAATTTCCTGTATTTCCGGAATTGGTGCATCAAGTACAATTCAGAATAATAATCCTCAGAATAATGATCCAGCCCACAATCAGTCTTGGGATACTGAACTTCAAAAGTGAATCCAAGTTCCCTGACTTAAGTGTAGCATTTCAGTTAGCCTAGGACATCTGACCCCTACGCCTCCTAATTAATCAACGATTTCTGTAGGTGATATTTTTTTTTCATTCTTTTTTCTTAAACTATGGTCTTTCAACAGGTCTAACGTTATGCTAAGTTAGCATTCAAACTGAGTCATCTATTGAAAGTCCAGGAAATAAATGGCTCCATTTAAAATATACTTCCTGAAATCCAACATAAATATTACATAAGAAATTGTACATAAGGGTTACAGGGTTCTGTCTAAAAGTTTTATAATTGTTTCAGTCCATCTTTTTGTATGCTTGGAATGAGAACAACTATGGCAGGGATGGTGGTGGTGGTTATTCTGTCAAAGAAAATGAATCTGATTTAATTGACTTTTATTTATACGTTTATCAAGTTTAAATATCTGAAAAAAATGTGAACATCAATCCCTAATCTAAATTGGCACGCTGTACAAGTAAACATACTGTTTATATTCAATTCTACAGTAGCTTGAATCTGTTTGGAATCTTGAGTCAGTCCGTTCTGTAAGAGAAAAGGAATGTTCTATGCTTTTTCTCCTTCTATGAAGTCATGGAAGACTAGATTTCATGAGTGGCATATTGATCATGATAATCTTAGAATAGTGATTTACTTTGTATGCTTGCTCATCGTTTGTTTTATTGTTTCTAAGGATACTAGAGTAGGAATATTTAGTCTGATTTAGAGCCTTTTACAACAGAAGGGCCGTCTTAAATGGATTTGATTTAAATAAACTACATAAACTTTTCTCTTAGACTAGTCTAAGATAAAGGAGAAATTTTATAATAGAAAACAAATCTAAAATGATTTTTAAAAATACAGCATATGTCCCCAACTGTAATTTGATTATGTGGCAACTAATATTTCTCAATGGAATTTAATAACTCAATGCTTATTTATAATCTCTATGAATAGATATTTGTTTGTATCTTTAAAGCATTTTTGGATATTTTGCAGAATACAAGCAGAATATATATTTAGAAATTTTTATATCCTAAATATATGTTGTATCATATATATTCTAATCTATCACTATGTATGTTAATAATTTAGTTTTTATCTTACCTTGAAGTCAGCTTGAGATCCAGATTTCACACTAGAAACTGACATTTTTTTCTTAGAACTTATTTTGAGATAAAGTGGATTTTGTATCATAGAAAATTACAGCTTAATAGAATTAAATATTTCTTTCACAAAAGACATTTTAATAGTATCTCTTGTTTGATTTAAAATTCTGTATTTTGATGTCACTATTCACAACTTTATATTTTATATCATATAAATATAATATCCATAATTGATATGTGAAAATATGAATCTAATAATTTTTCATTCTGTTCCACTAAAAATAGTATCAATATTGATATTTAGTCTTATTTAAATATTACCCTTTATTAAAAGTGGAATAGATATATACAAATTTACATAGTACAGATATATGGTTATATATTTATTCATTCAACAAGTATTTGAATGCTTATTCTTTTCTCCATATTTAGTCTTAAACATTTTTTGCAAAAATTGGATAAGCATATGTTCAAATTTGGTATTTTATTACTATCAAATTTGGCCACATATACTTTTTTCCCCAAATATTTAAGATATTTGTAGTTGCTTCTCTGATAACTTAGGTACTAGAATTGGCTTGACTTCATATATTGTCATTTGTGTTTGTGATGCTTCAGAAATCTGGAACCTAGTGAAGAGAATGTTCGCAATGATAGCAAACATTTATAACAATGCTTATAAATGTTTTCTAAGTGCTGTTTATATATTTTAATTCATTTAATCCTATTAACATCCCTATAATGTAGGTTAACATTTATAACTTGGACATTTTTAATTTTTTTTCCTTTGGTAAGCCAAAATTAATGCAGTCTGGAAGTTTCTTCATTGATTGTCATGTTGCTAATAAACATTAATAAATTCTCTTCATAAAATAGTCTTCATTCCTGGTTACAAAATGCTATTGGAAGTGTGAGTTATTTTGAAATACCCACAGTATACTTTGCTGTCTGGAATAGGGAGCACAGTCAAGGTGTGTGCCATAATAAAAATGATAATTAAAATGTTTTACTGCTCCCATCAGATTAATCACTAGAACCAAATCCTCCATTCCAATCCTTTTCTTTGTTTCTCAGGTGGTTTATAGTACATCCTTCTTGATCTTTAACATCATCCAGTTCTGGTCTGCTTTCTTGCTTTCTGTTTCAGACTGTTCTCCCTGCTTGCGCTCCGTGGTTCCCCATTATCCCTCCAGGCTTGTACAGTGTGCCTTGTAGTTAGCACATTCCTACTTCGGTTCAACTGTGATGATATCCTCTGTATTTCTCTTGCTTCTTTCCTCCCCTTTCTAATGGAACTTGGCAAAATTCTGGGTAGACTTGACACAGGAGGACGATCTTATAGCTGGGACTTCAGATATCAGTCGGAGCTCCCTAACTCATGGGGGATGGAATCGGCAGACAGAAGTTTGGATGGGCAAGGCTTAAGTGTGAAACAGCATGGAGTGTTCGAGAAACTGTGAATCCAGTCTTGCTGAAGTATAAGGTACGCTTGTGTGGAGGAGCATGCAGGAGACAGGGTTCAGTTGGCAAAGTAGGCGGGAGTTAGATTATTTTGGACTTTGTGGTTCATGGGCATGCATGTGAACTGATATAATCTCTCGGGAGGAGGAGGGGGTTAAGGTGATCAGATCTGTCTTTTGAAAGATCACATGAATAGTTATAGAGGATGTGTTGGGTGCTTACAAGTTAAGACTATCAGGTGTCCCCTACCTATTCCCCTAGTAGGCGGTATCCACAGTAGGCTGAATCCCTATATTTTACTGGACCTGATATTCTGATTGACTTTCGGGTAGTATCCTTTCATTCATACGTACTTATTGAGAGTCTCTACCATATGCTAGCTACTCTTCTAGGCTTTGGGGAATACAGTGGTGA